ATAGATTGTCAAAAGGGTTTAATTAATTTGAATTTTGACTTTGATAAAAACAATCAAGCGTGCCAATATTTGATTAAATGGTAGTGTGAATGAAATGACATTCCTAGTTCATGAATGTGTTCTTAAATTATATATTTGAAGAATATTTCATAATTTCATATTTTAATTTGGGATTCCCGATTTGTCCCGAAATCCCGAAAATATTTCGGGATTCCCGAAATTTGGGATTCCCGAAATTTTGGTTTGGGATTGGTCTTCAAATTCCCTTCCCAAAACATTTCGGTTTGGGATTCGGGATACTACTTTCGGTTCGGTATCCCATACCGAACCACCCCTAATAATAACACAAGAAGTCTTCAAAGAATTATGGAGGAGAGAAGTAAAATAACATAAATTTTTCTATTACAAATGATATTGTTATTTAAATTAAACTAAAATGATAGAGTTTGAACTTGAATCGTAGTGCATCAAAGAGGAAAGCTTTATTTCTCAGAACAATCCACTAAACCAAAACCTCACACCATCTATAGTATCAATCAACCCCTCTTCCATCTCTCCTTGAACTCTATTCTCACATTTTCAGCCGGTTTTATCGTTTTTGTGTTTTTAATAACAGAGGAGTGCATGACTACTATTTTAGAGTATCAATAACAATTTATTTATTTCTGTGGATGCCAATAACAGCTTAAGATATCGAAAATCGCAAGTTCTTCTAAGAGAAAAAAATATGTATAATTGTCAACCACAAAAAAAAAATGCGAGAAAAACAAGTAATGAGTTATCTCCACCGAAATTGATGAGGTCGGTGGGTTTTAGAGAAAGCAACCAAGATAAACGGCGCCAAGAAACCATTAATGAAACCATTAATGAATTTGAAGTTTGGTCCGGGAAGAAAGTTCTGTTGTTGCCCCACTCCCTCGGATAATCCACTACCATTTATGGACCTCCCTTTCCCAGCAAATTAAAGGTAAATGATATTTTGCTGTTTGTTCTATTCGATTTGTTCTTGTTTGCTACTGTCAAATCTGGGCATTGAACACCGTACGTTCATGATCTTAATTAATCCCATATTGTACAATAAGTGGATGAGGGGACTTGAATGGCATGGAAACACCGTTATATATAGTGCCTTTTGGTGGAGAAACTAACCAATATACTTGCATTATTAGCACAAGACGTTACTATGGTGATGTATTCATGCCATACAAGTTTCTCCTCGGTATTTGTTAGGACTTTTCTGAATCGATAATTTTTTTGTTTGAAAGGATGAAACAAAGAAACATCAACGAAAATGAAAAACAGGACGAACTCAAGGTCACGAGCATGGGCAGCAGCTGCAAAATCTAGAACATGACCACCAATAATATGCACTACCAGCCGCGCCTAAAGAAGTGAGGACATTAGCAACTTGATTACCCTCCCAATAAATATGCGTAGAAAACACGCTCATCTGACCAATGCGCTATAAAAAATTGTTCCAATCGACCAAGAGAAACCGAGGAACTGATATGCCTTTACATTCTAGCGGTGATACAGATTTCGTTTTCTGTATTATAAATCCCCATATAATCACTCAGATTTTAATTTGAAACTATCACAATTCCATATTATCTGAATTTCATTGGATTTAGTGTTGGAGAAGGAAGAACAAGTCGCATTCTCCTCCTCTCCTCTTTTGTCTTTTCATATTTTTGTCTTTGCGTGATGACGTTATTTGAGTCACATTCAGAGCAAATTATATATAGTCACTTTTATCTTCATCCACAGTTAGAAAACTTCAAATCATGTCCTCTAAACGTTGTTGATTTATTTTCTTTTACATTTTGGCTAACTTTGTTTCAACTCCCAATTTGAAGGTCTTGGCAATTCAAGGGGAATCTTATCCACAATTTTGCACAATTAGACAAATAAAGGTTATTGAATCTTTTTCTATATCCACTTCTCTCTGATTTTCTCAACTAGATGCGGTGGTGTTTTTTTGGTTCCTAAGTGCATCTCCAACCTTTGAAGTAAAACTCAAATTTTAGGTTTTAAATTTACCCAAACTTGCTCCAACATGAGATAAATATGAGTTTTTGACCAAAAACTCATTTCTAGAGCAAATATAGCCCATGATTCCTCTCGGGTTAGTGAGGTTGGCCCTCCATATATATATAACTTTTTTTAGTTTTATATTTATAAATTCATTGAACCTAACGAATAAGATCTAATATGATTAAATCTAACGGTAGAAAAAAAAAATCTAATGGTTCAAATTTAAATCTAACGGCTAAAGTAATTAAAAAAATTATTTTATGTGTTTCATATTCTTTCATAGTGTTTCACGAGTTTTTTGGTGTCGCTTTAGTAATTTTCCAATATTTATCAAAATCTAAATATTTTTAGATTAAAATGTTCATAAAATTAAATTAGGATAGTCTATATATTTTTTTTTAAGTTACTTTAAGAAAAATAATTATCATAAATTCATTCTTTAGTAATCTCGAGCTAAATTTAACCCATAAAAATTGGATGAGAAAAACTGTTTTTGGATTAAAACCTAAATTGCCTAGGTTAAAAATTTTAAGTTTTAAGATTGAACATTATCAAATAGTAGGGATGCCTTTAAAAAAGAATTTCTATTATTTTTATAAAAATAAGAATTAATTGTAGGGCTCACACCATATCAAATCAATTAAACATTTTCTTATCCACTCCCACTCCCACAACTTCCTTTAATTGAGAGCAACTATCCTCGATCTGACATTTTCCCCTTTCAATTTTCAAGTTACTGAAAGCGATGACTGGTTTTATGTTCAACACTCAAACCCTAGCGGGCATGCCCTTGTCAGTTGTCATTGGGTCTCTTTGGTTCTTCCATATCTCATGGACATAAGTTGGACCCATTGATCTCAAAAGCCCTTTCTGAGGCCCACTTGCAATTTTTCAAGCCTCTTTAACATTTTGAATAATTAAATTTTTTAATAGTCAGATTTGCAAACCAAATAATGTGATTGTAGATGATTGAATTATTAATTAAGTGTCAATTAAAAATTTAGTCTCCCTAGCATCCATTAATTATTCATTTCCTTAATTAATTAGTTCATCGTACTTTTAAATCATAGGTTTCAGAGTAAGTGTCCATTAGTTCTAATTGGCAAGGCAGTGAGAGTGATAATCTTTTTAATAAGCTTTTTTAATTTATTATTATTAAGGGGAAGTTTTGATCCGGAACGTATAGGTGGAAACCCAACACGCTATACACTAGAATATTAGTTCAACCCTAACTATGAAAAACAGGTGATTCGTTTCATGGATCTCACCAACTACGAATGACAACTAACCATATATCATGCCTCCCAAGTCCTTGTAAAATATAAGTAGATAACCTGTACAATTCTGAATTAGAATGAAATAAGATCCTTCTCTAATGCAATGCTCTACCTATGAGCTATGGTTATTATAGTCAAACCCCTAATGTAATCTCTTGTGCTCATATGATTCTTTTTAAGACTATTGAGTTACCTCCTCCTAATGTATAGATCATTAATATAAGAGCATCTTCAATGGGTATTTAATTTTTTCTGTCAAATTCTTAAGTAATGGCTGATATGGCATTTCGAAGTATGATATCAAATTTCTTTATATTTCAAATGGGTATGTTAGTTATTATTTTACTATCATATAGAGCCCACTTTAAAATAAAATACACAGTAAATTATTTTTAATGCTTTATCTTGCAGTGGATTATGAGCCCCACTAATTAAAAAATAAATAAAATAGAAATGAAGGCAGCGTCAAAATTGGCACTAGAGGTCTTGCTGCCATTCTATCCAGGTCAGCTAACATAATGTTCGGTTAGAGTAATATTTATTGTCAAAAGTAATTAGTTGGCACTCCACCTAAGATTTGGCATCTATTTTAAAGATGGTCTAATGGCATTATCCATGGACTCACCAAAGAGATTTGCGAATTAATTTATGTTGATCTTTTGCGGTATAAGTTTACGGACTAGTTGCAACATAGTCCTAAGCAATTTATCAAGCTTTTGATTGGTTTTAGGGCATACTTTCAACAATAATCATACCCAATGGTTAACTCATTTTGTATAGAAACTAGAATGCCGTTGTATAGAAAAAAATTTATTACTCTATTCTACACATATTCATTAATTTTGTATTTGCAACACTTTAATATGAATCAGTTTCTACAACTCCAATATCGATCTATTTGCACAATTTGAATTCAAAAGTGCTTACGCAAATTTAATCCGAAAAAATGTTTTTGCAATATTTAATCCAAAATTTAGTCTCTATATCATTACTTTTTTTGTGGTTCACATTTCAATCCTAATCCAGGTGTTGTGCATAAACCAACTCTTTGACAAGAGCCCTAAGGCCATGTCCAACCAACCTGATCAAAGAGTCATATGGCTAAAAATAACTTGAAATGACACGAAAATAATATCCAACCGAAGGCTAGGCCTAAGGCTTGTGACTAAAACGTTCAGCCACGTCCAGACCACCAAACCCAAACATGTGACTAAAACGTTCTTGACCCAAACATATCCTTCTAGTCTTTCTCGTATTTCAGTCTCACCTATGTTTTGTTCCCAAGTGCCAGTTTTATTTTCTTTTATCTAAAATAAAATGTTGTTTTCTTCAAAATTATCATGTTTAAAGTGCTTTTATCTAGAATGTTATGTTATAAAAATATTTTAAAAAAAGTAACACTAGTGGACTGTGGACCTAGCAGCAAAGCTACCATGGGCCAAGGTTGCAACCTTTTCTCCACAAAACAAAACAAAACATCTGCAAATAAAAATAAACACACATTCACATTTTTACCTCTAACACACACCTCTTAATTTTCAACCGTCAAAATGATTGTGTACCCACAACACATAACCTAATTTTAGCATCCAAAGAGATTGGAACGAGCATGTGGCTGATCCCCGCGATGTTAATTTTATATTTCCTGAAGAGAGCAAGTTAAACAAACACGCAGGGCAACAGCGAAACTCGGTTAAATTTTTCTATATTTTCTTCTTTTTTCCCCCAAAAGAAAATCGACTATTTCGACTCCTACACTATTTTGATAATTTGATGATCATGTGAGGTTCTAATAATACAAATGTACATCGAATCATAACCTATACAAACTTGCAGCACTTTTAATCCATCACCCGTCTTCCAAGGGCTTCAACCAGCATCCATGGATTAGAAAACGGTTATTTCCAACCGTCATCAGGATTCAGAACCCACCTAAATTGGTCAATCCAGTACATAATCAGCAGCGGCATCCGGTGATCCGAGAACTAGGGCAGCTTCAGCGATTCTAAATGCCATCGTCGCTTTATAAGTGACTAGATCTGCATTCTGAATGAGTAACTGAGCCCGTTGCCGTTTGCGGATGGCAAATTCCACAGATCTCTCGGCCGCATCTTTCGCTTCTTCAACTTTAACCACATCATTCTGCTCTTGCATCACATCTTGTTCCGCAGCCATAGCTGTGTATCAATACAAGCTCAGATATACAGTTCTCATATACTTAAAAGCGAAGCTGAGAAATCAGATCTTTTACAGATACACAACAGATGCATTCTGCAATTGCCCTTTAAGAAGACAAACTGAACGGGTTCCAAAAAAAAACAAAAACAAAAAACTTCTGATTCACGGGTATATAGAATAACAGCACAACAAGCAGACATCAGGTTTCACATTATGATGGATTCTAAGAGCAACACACAACAAAAGTTTATGCGGGTACGTATAAAAACTTCAAATGGTTTCAGAAGTTTGAGCCCTCACATGATATCAAGTGTTTGTTGCAGGTACTGGGATGCTGATGAATTAATTAAAATTCAAATGCCAATGCCATGTAAGCTACCCTGTAAATTTATATTAAAAAGGATAGTAAAATTCACTGTACCACTAGGATTGGGCAATAAGAGATTTAAATTACCTTGCAAGAAACTTGGTTGATTTCCTCTACCAGATTGACTTGGTTGTCTCTTGAATGATCTTCTCTTGCGCAGAATAGGCTTTGGATCTAGTAGAGATCTCTTCGATTGATTCGCCTGTTAAAAAAGGGGTCATTAACGCAGACAACCAACCTAATTATCAGAATTTACATATGCAGACCAGATATACGCCGGAAACTATTCTAGCAAAAGAAAATCATTCATCAGCAAGTTCCAAAAGTCTTTTCTTGACATAAACAGTGATCTGATTACAGAACACAGGAACCAATGCTTCCAATGAAAGAAACCACATTTAAGTGCACTAAGATAACTGTTCTATTGATTCCAGGTTCTTAGTCACATTTAAGTGCACTCAAGGGGTTGTATACCAATGAAAGAAGTCAGGAAGTATATCCGAGTTCATTCAAATACAATTTTGCGGATTAAAATTTGAGAACAACATATTCCAACTAAAACTCACAGCCAGTTGAATAGAATTGCATTCCCACTTTTCTCATTAATGGCAAACTGCATAGAGAATTAAAATGATGATACTCAGCATACCGAACTTCTTATTATTGAAAACAATGGTAAAAAACTGGTTTATCTTGCTTACAATAATCATCAAATAAAAATATCTACCACAATAAATTAGAACAATCAGAAACACAGATTAGTTATTCTAATAACAGAAGTATTCCCTTATCTAACAAAGAAACAAGTTCAACTACAAGAATTTGGCAAGGCATTAAGATACCTATCATATATACACCATAAATTGAGATAGATGTATTGCCAAAATACAACGCGTAATCTGAACCATAATGTGACATGTACCTGGAACACCCTAAGTAGCGATGATAATCGCTTCTGCTTCCGTTTATCCATCCAATTACTATATATAGCCTCTATTACTTCCCTCTTCATATCCAGACAAAGATTAGCAGCTGGATTCTCATCAGAGAAATTATATGGTCTATAATAAAATGCCTTCTCAATCGCATCAACAATTAATTCATACTTATCCTCGGAAACTAGGTCATCAAGTTTATCCTCAGCAAAGTCACTGTTGAACTTCTTCAGCCACCCCTCATCATCAGAGTCCATATCATAATTTGCATTTCTCTTTGCCATGGCTCTAGACAGCTCATCATCATTCAGAGATATGTATGACTCTGGTCTGTGGAAAGAAGTACGGTGACTATCCGCATATCCTGGGACTTCATACACACCGGGCACAGGGATGAACTTGAGAGCTGGAGATGGCACAGACCGATCAGAACACTCCTTGTAAAGGTCCTTGAATATATACCAATCACATTGATTGGGAAATTCTAGCTTCCAATTATCCCCATTATCCGCAGACCACATTATAACATTCGTAAGACGGTTTTTAGAGCAGGGCCTCATAACTTTCTCTGCCTTGTAGGTGTATCGGGTTAATCCTTCTTTCTTGACCACAAGAAGCCATTCTCCAGATGAAGAGATTTCTAACATGACAGTTGCTCCATCTTCTTTATAACATTTGTCCCCTTCAGTGATCAGTACATTCACCAAGCAGCGTGCAGAATCTAAATCCCGTGTCGATCCCTCCATGGTTGAACTGTCTTCTTTCAGGTTTCCTACAGGAGAAGTTGGAAATGTCTTCCTACGCTTATTAATAGATGCTACAGAGGAAAAAGGGAGGCCGTTCTTCCTAATACTGGTTAGCTCAGAAACTAAGGCTCCATTGGGCTTTCGTGAAGAAACCAGCGACGGATTTCTAGTTCGCCTTCTCCTCAACGAACTCCTCTTCTGAACACCACGCGAATTTAAACCATTCCTATACTGTGTGTTTCTATAAGCTAATTTGGGAACTCTTGCACCAGAATGCCAAACCGGCGTGCACTCAACTTCTTCGTCATAGTCATCATCACTTTCATTCCCATCAATCTGATTATTTATAGTTGGCTGACATTTATATCTGAGATGGATAATGGTATGCATGTCCATAAAACAAAAAGGAACTGCAGAAAAGTCCACAGAAAACAATGGGATAAACTGTTTCGACCCAAATAACTTGCAAATTCCAGAGCTCCTAGTACAAGATCGAACCTGAAACACATTTTAAGAAATCGAAAACTAGATCAAACTAATGACCAACCAGATACTACACCTTCTCAACCAAATTTAAATGTGGTAAAGAACCGCCACTTACCCGCGAGAACTGAATGCCACAGGATGAAAAAAAGCTACCAATTGGCTCTGATGCAAGGAAATCAGAAAGCTCAGTCAATCCCAGACTGGCCCTCGTCATGTACACCAAAACCGAATACAAAAAACGAGTAGCCCAGTATCTCCTACTGCACGAAGACTCAATCGAAACACAAAACACTTCCCGGGACACAAAACCCACATGGGAATCCAACTCCCCGTTCACCTTCCTCCTCTGCCTCCGAACAAATCTCCGCCCATACATTCTATCATCGGAACCACCATCGTTCTCCACATTCGCGGTGCCGCGCTTCCTCTTTCGGAGATACACAATCCCATACATCCTGTTCTCTTTAACTTCATCAGCCAAAAGCTCATTACTTTCAAGCTTCTTCACCACTGGAACTTCCAAAACGACGGCGTGTTGTTTGGGACTCCGAATGTGGTTGTTCCCGGGCCATCTCTTGTTCTTTAAAGAAACAACAGAATCACTGGCATGGCTTTTCATGACTTTAAGCCAGTCCTCATCGCCACGGTGGGCCCTCACCAGCTTGGACTCTGACGATTCGGGCCAGAGGCGGCGGCCGGACCGCAAAACACGAGCCCCGTCCACACCGCCCTTGGCCATCGCCATCCCGAAAACCCTCGTGGTCCGCCTCATCTCCACCGATGGCATTTCCGTGCTCAGATTCCGGAGCAGCACCACTCTGGGCGCAGCACTCCTCTTCCTCCTCCTACTCGACTCGCCGAGTCGCCGAGTCGATCTCCGAGTTGACTCAGTCCCAAACTCGGGGCGGGACCTCTCAACCAAAGAAAGGGACGGCGACTGGGGTCTCATGGTGGGGCGCCATTCTCTCGGAGTTGGGGAAAACTCGGAACTCTATACAGTCAGCCTGACTCGGGATTCAACTCATTAAAAAAATTTACAGATTTTTCTTGAGAAAATTACTGATAACAAAAAATTAAAAGAAAAAGAAAAAAAGTGTTTGGCGGTTGAGAAAAACCAGAGAGATTAACAAGTACAGAAAATTAACAGAGTACAACACAGAAATACATATAGAGAGAGAGAGAGAGAGAGAGAGAGAGAGAGAGACTAATTTACAGGAGATACTCACAAACCAGATCTAAAACTTAGAGAGAGAAAGTAGAGAGAAAGTGATTGGGTTTTTGAGGAGGAGAGAGAGAGAGTGGGAGGGGGGACTGATATCGGCCACGACGGCTAGGGTTTATGATAAAAAAAACCACAAAGTGGCAAGAGGGGAGGGAACCAATCGCCGACTCGAGTTAACCTTTGGATGGTAAATCAACGGTTGCGAGTGCAAGTTGGATGGTAAATCAACGGTTGAGATTGCCAGTTACGTGTTGATTTTATAGAGATTCGACGGCTCCAATGGGAAAAAGGAAAGAGAGAGAAAATGGGAGGGTGGGTGTGCCATGTGTGAGAACAGGGAGGGGGAGAGAGAGAGTTGGTTGATATTTTAACGTCATGAGGGTGGATAATTACTGAAAGGGGCTTTGAAGTGACGTGGGGATGGTGGGGGAATTTAAATATTTGTGGGTTTGGTCCTTTTGAGGCGGCAAGGGATTTCGCATGTTCGCGATTTAAATTTTGTTACTGTTGTAAATCTTAAACGGGTAAAGAATTTGAGGAAATTTTACAATTATCTAATGTTGAATGATACGAAAAGGATTTTTATCATTAATGGTCGGTGAAATTAATTTAACACATTAAGACAGTAATTAAATTAAAAATGGATTAATGTAGTTTCTGAACATAGATGTCATAAATTAATAAGATCATTCTGTCACAATTATGTTAAAATTATGTTATATACTGATGTGACACATAATTGGATCTCATAAATATAGTTAAATATTGCCATGTGAATTAGAAAATATTTAAATAATTTTTTATAATTAAAAACTTAAAAATAAAAAGAAGAAGATCGTCATCTTCTTCCCCTGCCCAAAAACCCAACCCCGACTCCTGCAGTGACACAGCCATCAACCCAAGCCCTGTAAAACACAAATGCAATTACCATATGCATATACCCCACACCTACCTAGCATTGACCGCCAAACCCACCACCTTCTCACACACCAATGTCTTCCTCTTCCTCCTCCTTCGCTCCCAACCTTTCCCCACCATCCAATGAAACCACCACCACCTCCACCCTCACCTGTCTGATCACTCCAAGCCTAACCGCATGCCTTCCCTAGCCTACATCTCTCGTCATGTGATCGGATCGGCACCGTCGGCTCCAACTAGTCCAATCGGTTGCACCCTCATTCTTGCGGTCCTTGTGCTCTACAACGCTGATAATCAAACTAAAACCTCTTTGGTGTCTCTCACCAAGAGGTGTAGTTGACAGGATGGTGTGGGGTTGTAGTGGTTGCTCTGTGGGAGAGGAAATAAGATGGTGAACATTCATCTTTCTTTTTCTTTTTTTTTTTTGGTAAAAATAAAAGGTTTTTTTATTATTCAAATAAATTTTTTATTCATGTGGTAATGTTTAATAGATTTGTGGAATACATTTATTTGCCACATCAGCACTTAACAGAAGTTTTAATGGAATTCTAATGGAATGACCACATTGATTTGTGACACCCATTTTTAGGGACTACATTGATCGATTTTCAATTTCAATGACCATCTTAATGGGAGGGGTCAATTTCAGGGACTATTTGTGAGAAAAAAAAAACCCATACGAAAATAATAGCTGAATTGAATTAGAAAATTTAAACAGTTACAAATTTAACGGCTAAAATATTCGTAGCATTGAATAATAAGTACTATTGAGTCACAATCTAATATTACTTGTCCTCTATTATTTTTAATAAGAATTTGAGTCATCCGTAGAGGTGCAATTCTTGTTGGGTCAACTTTAACACGACTTTTAAACTGATTGAGCAGTTTCTTTTATTTTTTTATTATTATTATACAAAGGGAAGGGTTTGAATGAGGGGTGGGCACGAGCCAGGCCCACATTTAAAGGGATCGAATCGGGCCTCTAGGTATTGAGTTTTGATACCTAACCTAACTCGGTCTGTGTGAACAGACCGAATCCAACTATATTTTTTTGTCCTTTCAAAAACACATTATTTAAAATAAATAAATAAAAGAGATTGTGAACTAGTGAAGGTACATATTCATTGTGCAGCATACAGAAGCACAGCAACACATATTACAATTACATAATACAAAAACACATATAATTATTCAAATAACATCCTAATTTCATAGTTCGAACATCACAAATTGAAAATTACATATTAGTTCTATAATAATATCCAAAACTACAAAATTACATCTGAGATATCTAAAGTCCGTAGATTAACATCCAAAATCCAAATTCAAATCAACATCCAAATCCAAAATAACATCTATAACCATTAAATTCGTAATAACATCCGACATGACATCAAACATCCAACATCATTCCTCACTAAATTTGTAAGAAAAAAATTAAAATCAACATGAGCTCCAACATCCAATATCGTAGTATCCCCATTGAATCATTGAAACTTGAAGTGTATTCATTTGAGTTTAAAATAGAGAGTTGTTATTGTCACTCCAAAAATATCATTTTGCACTCTAAACTTTCTATAATCAGAAAGAAAAATACACTTGTGAGAAGTGTAGAATGAGATTTTGAAATGCAGATAATAGTTCCTTAAAATATTACCATAATTCCCTTATTCTTTTGAGTTGGTTGAGCTTCACTTTCAGAAACACTTGAGCGACTTGTACTTATAGTAATTACTTTTCTATTTTTATGCTCTATAAAAATAAATAAAAGAAGCACATTAACAGTTAACAAATAGAAAACAAAACAATTTAAAATAAACCAAACTACACAAAACAAAATAATTACCGGCTTCACACTCTTTATAAAGTTCAATTCCGACACACTTGCTTTATACTCAATGTTGCTAATGTCTTCACTTCTTATCCAATTTTGGAGACATATCAATGACTCCATTGTTTTAGGAGTGAGAAATGATCTAAATGGATCATTTTCTCTTTCCTATGCTAAATGCAATCTCACTAACAATTGTTGACACTTGAATAGCCAACATATCTTTCGCTAGCACAACAACTGTGGGATATGTGCTTCTCCTTTTCAACTTCCACCATTACAAAATGTCAAAAGTTTCACATTGCGATACTCTTTAGTATGTCAAGGAGATACATATCCACCTCAGGTGCAAACTCAATATCTTCAGTGTATTCTAGTTCCTTCTCCCAATCATCCATCATTTGACTAAATATCACCAATTCTCTTGTTACACTAGGAAGTAGTTCTTTTTACACTTGAAGGACTTGTGCAACAGTTGAAGCTTCTTCACCTTTTTTTTTTTTTTTTTTTTTTTTTTTTTTTTTTTTGTGTTTGTGAACCAAAATGTGACATCCCACATCGCCCAGGGGAGTGATCCTTATATGTATATTCCCATCCTTACCTAGCATAAGGCCTTTTAGGAGCTCACTGGCTTCGGGTTCCATCGAAACTCCTAAGTTAAGCGAGTAGCGCGCGAGAGCATTCCTAGGATGGGTGACCCATCGGGAAGTTCTTGTGTGAGTTCCCAAAAACAAAACCGTGAAGGCGTGGTTGGGGCCCAAAGTGGACAATATAGTGCTACAGTGGAGTCGGGCCCAGGAAGTGGTCCCGCCCGGGTCGGGATATGACAATTTGGTATCAGAGCCTAACCCTGGCTGCGTGTGTGCCAACAAGGACGTCGGGCCCCTAAGGGGGGTGGATTGTGACATCCCACATCACCTAGGGGAGTGATCCTTATATGTATATTCTCATCCCTACCTAGCACGACGCCTTTTGAGAGCTTACTGGCTTCGGGTTCCATCGGAACTCCGAAGTTAAGCAAGTAGCGTGCGAGAGCATTCCCAGGATGGGTGACAAATTGTCACATCCCGACCTGAACGGGACCACTTCCCAGGCCCGACTCCACTGTATCACGATATTGTCCGCTTTGGAACCCAACCACGCCTTCATGGTTTTGATTTTAGGAACTCATACGAGAACTTCTCGATGGGTCACCCATCCTGGGAATGCTCTCGTGAGCTACTCGCTTAACTTCAGAGTTTCGATGGAATCCGAAGTCAATGAGCTCCCAATAGGCCTCGTGCTAGGTAGGGATGAGAATATACATATAAAGATCACTTCCCTGGGCGATGTGGGATGTCACAATCCACCCCCCTTAGGGGCCCGACGTCCTCGTCGGCACACACGCGGCCAGGGTCAGGCTCTGATACCAAATTGTCACATCCCAGCCCGGGGCGGAACCACTTCCCCCGCCCAACTCCACCGTAGCACGATATTGTCCGCTTTGGGCCCCAACCACACCCTCACGGTTTTGTTTTTGGGAACTCACACGAGAACTTCTTGATGGGTCACCCATCTTGGGAATGCTCTCGCGCGTTACTCTCTTAACTTCGAAGTTTCGATAGAACCCAAAGCCAGTAAGCTCCCAAAAGGCCTCGTGCTAGGTAGGGATGAGAATATATGTATAAGGATCACTCCCCTGGGCGATGTGGGATGTCACAAAAAGCTTGTTGATCATATTCATCACACATCGCCTTCATCATCGCCTTTATTGCTTCTTTTTTCAGCCTCTTTTTTGGAAAAGCTTTAATTGCTTTCTACAAAATTGCAAGAAGTACCTCAACTTGAATCGTGGGTCTAAGATAAGGTTAATTACAAAGATTTGGTTCATAGACCCAATTGAACCAAAATACTTTTGGTATATGGTTGTTATGCTCATTGTCATATCACATAGTATTGTCTTAACACCTCCTCGAGTTTACATATATTCAGGCAATAAAACATCTTATTAATCTCGGCCTTATGGACTGCTATATTAGATGTTGGATGCTTGCTTTCACTATCTTTAATAGTCACTAAGTAGAAGACCTTCAAAAAATTCACAAACAATTCTACAACCTCCCAATCCTTCTATATAGGTGGTCTAACCCTACCTGTAATGTTAATTCTCACTTCTTCTCTGTCATCACAGTAATAATTTCATGTGAAATAGTGCGATTCTAGCATCATGTATGTATTATTTCACTTAGTAGACGCATCGATAATAACTAAACCCCCTAATATTCAACTTCTCATTCTCCAAACATTTCTTGAAACAGACAAACCTTCAGGGGCTTGATCTCACATGTCTCATAACATTCTAATTGTATCCACACTGTTATCTATTCTTTTCAACTCATTTTTAACTATCAAGTTAACAATACGAGTCAAACACCTCACATGCATATACTTAATTGTCACCTTATTAGCCAATGGATTGCCAATTGAGATTCACATCAATTTTTCAATCCCCTACTCAATCAACTTCCCTATTTCTTTGCCTTCATGATTTGGAATCAAACAAAAGTTTACAATCCTTT